AAAGAAGGAAATCAGAAGTTAAAGTTCAGTAGAAACATCTTGCATGCAAAGCAAAATACTTCAGGTGGTCTCACAGATGCCCTCAGAAGGAACAGATAGCAGCCAAACAAGGGGCACCTCAGAGGAAGCCTGAAGTTTGCATTTACAGATGTAAATTTCTTTATACAGAGAAATAGCCTTTTAGCCAATCCGCAAGTTCTAATATGCAATATTTAGTTCTAAGTATTAGTAAATTTCCATTTTAATCTTTTCTTTCATGTGTGAATTATTTATAATGGCATTTTATAGTCTTCAAAAATAAATAAAATGTATTGTTGTTAGAGAACATCATCTATATAAATAAACCTTTGATATTTCTTGAGACTTACTTTATTACACTATACATTAGCAATTATTTTAAGTGTTTCATGTATGTTTGAGAAGACTATGTATTCTATAATTCCAAGGCATGAATCTTATTGCCCATAAATTATTAAACTGTGTTGTGTAAATGTGTATTTTCAGTTTTTTCATGTGCTTGATCTATCAACAACTGGGAGAGGTGCATTTAAATTGTTCACTGAAGTGAAAAATTTGTCAATTTCCCTATATAATTCTACTAATTTTTGTTATGTAGTCTGAGTCACAAAGAAATTTAGATATGTTATATATTCCTGATGGATTAAACTCAATTACGTAGAGGCCATATTTCTCATAATGCTTTTTGTACAAAACTTTTTTCTGTTTAATATTAAAATAACTCCCTTAACTTCCTTTTGGTCAGTATTTTCCTGGCAATATCCTTTCTGTCCTTTTGACTTTTCGCAATTCTTATATTTTTGTGTATCTCTTATGTATAGCCCATTGTTATAATTTACTTTTTTGCCCTTACACTCTTAGAATCTCTATCTTATAGAATAACTACTATTTAGTCTACTTATTTATATATTTGGGCTTTCTGTCATCTATTTTATATTTATATATTTTGTAGTTCTATTTGTTTTATTTTTACGGTTTTTTTTTTTTTTTTTACTTTATTTGGACAGTCTATCGTCCCACTTTTTTTTTTTTTTTACTTTTTTTGGACAGTTTTTCGCCCCACTTTTTTTTTTTTTTTCCGGTTTTTTTTTTTTTTACTTTTTTTGGACAGTTTTTCGCCCCACTTTTTTTTTTTTTTTCCGGTTTTTTTTTTTTTTACTTTTTTTGGACAGTTTTTCGCCCCACTTTTTTTTTTTTTTTCCGGTTTTTTTTTTTTTTACTTTTTTTGGACAGTTTTTCGCCCCACTTTTTTTTTTTTTTTCCGGTTTTTTTTTTTTTTTTACTTTATTTGGACAGTCTATCGTCCCACTTTTTTTGTTGTTGTTTTAAATTATTTCCAATTTTTCATCACTATTTAGAAAATCATTTCCTTTCTTGTAATGCATGCCCTTGATATTGTACTTAATGTCAAAATTAACCAATATCATATAGGTTTTGTACTGAACAATTCATAAATGCTAAACAAATATTCTGTTCACCCCATCCCAACATACATGCTATTTCTATTTTGGTAATTTATTCAAAATGTGATTGTACTTCACTAGAGGACCTTTTGGAAAATCTTGCTGGAGAGAACCAAGGAAGCAGAGATTGTTTCCCTTTTTTTTTTTTTTTTTGCTGACCCAGTTTTCTGCTTTTGTGCTGTTTTTTTGGCTTAGGGTTAACTCATTGTTTGGGTGGATTATCCCAACTGCCCTACAGCTCTTTTGCCTTGCAATTGCAATAGACCTGCTTCAGAGTTTCAGTAAGTAAACCCAAACACCAAACAATTGACCACAGACAAAAGAGCCAAAGTAATAGTATTACAGGAAATTCTGAGAATCTTCAGTTTCAATTATTTCTGTACAAATGGTCTTCTGAAGCATTGCCATTTTCTGCACAGAACATTAATATTTATACTTTATCTAAATAGAGATTTGTCTTTTTTTTTCTCCATAACATTTTGCAGAGGGTTAGATCCTCTTGCTTTAGCAACCTACTACTATAGCTTTTAGATGTCTTCGCATAATCCTACAGTTTTATTCTTTAGCTCTCAGCCTCCTCTGAAGAATCCATCTATACAGATTACAAAATAATCTAATCTGTGCTGACTCCTTTTTAAGGATCCAAATTGCATTCCTCCTTTTACCTGAGACACTCCCACCCCCTCCCCATCCCCACCCCACCCACACACACGAACGGGAACTGCACATTATGGGATATCTTTACTTTTGCTGCCCTGACAACCACTTTGTTTCTTCTTGATACTAAAGCTAATTAATGAAGCTTGGTGTCTAATGAGAGCTCAGGACTTTTCCTTGCCTGCTCCTCAGGACTTCCCCCAAGGACAAATCAAGTTATGCCACTTCCAAGGAGATGTGCTCAAGTTTGAGGACATTATATTGCTTACTTTGCCACAATAAAGGTTATGAGCATATGGGTAGGACACCCAATTTTTAGCTCTTGCAGTCTTTCCCTTTTACTGGGTCAGTCAGCCCACATCACTAGAAATATAAGGAGCTGGAAATTATCACAGGCATATTTTCCTGAGTTGTGGCTGGAAGAAATAGGTCAGCTGAGGGAGTTCTAGAGGTAAAACAAACTACTTTTCAAATATAGGTGTGGAGGGCATGAGGTTAGCAATCCACACAGCATGCCATCAGTTACCGTTTCTCAGTCTGGCTTTAGTTCTACAAAACCATCGTGGGGCCCAATTGACTCTCATTTGGATTGCTGTCCTTCCAGGAGCCTGGTGGATCAAAAAAATTTTTTTAAAAAATGTATTTATATATTTAACAAATATCTCATCTTCCTCATGCAGCAGGGTGATCTAGAGGCTGCTGCCCTGACCAGAGAGCACTGAGCAATGGTCTCTGCCCACTCCCTAGGGCTCCCCTGCTCACTTTCTGTGGCTGAGTGCATGGAAACGTTCTTCCATCTGACCCATCACTTGAATTGGGCTTTAGAAAAGGAGGCAACAAGTTTTCTAGCCAGCTTTGCTTCTAGTATTTTGATGGTAATCCAATTTACAAAATTCTCCACAGGGTTCATCTGAGTTCTAGATTCTACTCTGGAGTATGAGGACTAAGTCACGGAAAATGAAAATATATTTTGCCTTTATCTCTTGGCATTTATTTCTCTTGGGGCTTTGTGGTGGTGAAGAGGTTGACTATTCCTTGGTTACTCCTAAATGACCTGGTAAAATGCCCTTACAATTTTTAATTTTATACCTTCATTAACAGATCATTTCATCCTTTCCAACAACCTGGCAATTCCGTTAAGTAGCAGACTACTTTATAGCTTCCTCAAAAAAATATCTTTAAAACCCTGCCTTTTTCTCCCCTTAGAAACCTTCGTTTACTATGGTATTCAAGGATGCTAGGATTCTGTTTACAACATTCTAGAGGGGACCCCTTGCAAATGAGCACTCTCTGCTCCAGCCTCACCTCCCCATGCTTAGCTGGGCTACCTTTCTCATTCCGGGTTCCTTTACTGCCCTTGCTGCTGCAAACTGGTTGTGTCTATGTTCAGATTTGGGAGAAAGTACGTCCCTCCAGGAACCTCAGAAAATACAGCAATTTACAGAAGGCACCAGAGATTTAGCATTAGCATATAAGACTTTGCAGGGGAATCAGCAATAAAACTACTTGATGTCCCAACAAACTGGACCAGGCTCTCCCTTTCCCTTATATAGATTTCCTCTGACAGATTTTCACTTATTACAATAATTCAGAGAATAAAAAGTCAATGTGTTCTGTCCCCTCCCGTATTTAATCAACTTCAATAAATGGTAAGAATGAGCTAGGAGAAATTCTCTCTTAAGGCTGTGACATTTCATCTGAGACAAACTGTATTTCGACCTTAAATATACAGTTGAGATATGCCTGCATATTAGGGTAGTCTCTTCTGCAAACTCCAGGCTTGGATGATACCTCAGTGTGCATATATCCAACAGCTCTGCTAACCATTCCAGGCCTTCATTATCCTCATGGAAAATGACTGTATTTCCAGATCTACTTGTGGTATGAATGACTTTCAGAACTATCAGGACCCTGAAGCCCTGGAAAGGGAATGGGTAAAATGGAAAGTCCTAGAAAACAGGGAACTTGGCTGCAAGAGTTACTTTTATTTCACATGTGTATATTTCCAGGACAATGGCTGACTGGTACTAAAACCAAACCAGTCCATAAGAATATCATTATTGACCAAAATGAGAATTTCCTTGTTGGGCTGTTAGGGTTGGGGTCTTGTTAATCCACCCATATTCTTGTGGTGTACTGGCACATAATGGATTGTAAAACACAGCAGAAGCAACCAGGCACAGAAGACTGTCTCCCTTCTCATGCTTTGATCCCATACCCTGTGCTCCATTTATGGAGGACGTCTCCCCAGTCTTTGCCACTCCCACAATAAGAGCAGGTGAGGTTTGTAATTATTCAGCCTCATCTCCATGGAACCTTTATCAGGCAACAGAGATCCTTGGGCCATCATGGGGTACCACTATTTAGTTCTTAGTTACATGAGAATGAAATCACATAAGAAAAAGCAAACACAAATACATGAAAGGCATTTACTACTGGCAAATTCCTCGGGTCTTGGGTGCTGGGGTTCACAATTTTCCCTGATGTCAGAAGACTGAGGCCAGGATGATGACGATTGGGTGTCAGGAAAATAGTCGTGATGGTCTTGGGCAGCAGCAACAGCATTTTTCTTATTTGTCCATAGTTTGATCTTGAATCTTCTCCAGCTCTCTTCATGTAAATGAAGTGACCAAGTCAAGCATGATTCTCTAATTTTTATAGGGCCTTTGTAAGCTAACACCGTAGCAAATCCCCTCACACAGCCCATTCAAAGGGGGGTGAGGGGTGAGCTTGTGCATATGTGGAAATATAAGTGATTTCATTATGACTTAATTATGCTTTACTGACTCCCTCGGCACCCAAATACTACATCTCACTTGTAGTAGAAATGCTAGGGACAAAACCAAGAGACTGGATGAATAGAAGGCAGGCTATGGGCATGAGTACTCCAACAGGAGAAATACAAACGAAACCCACAAAGAAAGAAGCTTCTGGCAAGGCCCTCTTTTCTAGCAGTGTCATGCACCTGGTATCATTTTCACAATGGGGAAAGCAGCAGCTGGACAAGGTCCACAGGAAGCAGCCTTGAGGTTTTTGCCATCAAACATTTCTACCCTTTCTCCCCAGTATCAAAGGAAGTGCCTGGTGAAGGAGTGAATCAGACAGTGAGGGTCTGTACAGGTATCCTGTGATGGTGTGGCAAAGCCAGCTGGACGCAAACCTCCTGTCTAATTCAGGGCTATGTGCTTTAAGATCTGAGCCCAGTAAGGACAGAACCCCTCAGGCTGGTCCCTTACTAGACCTAAGGGGCTGCCCTTGGCCACTGTATACTCAAGGCTGCTAAGCAGTCTTTCAGATACGTAACAGCCTATTTTATGGAAAATATACTAACCAAAACCTCATAAGTCTCCTAATGCTCCTGCTTTACACCCATGAGGTAGAGGCGGGAGCACACCAGTGATGAAGAAGCCTCAATTCAGGTGGGCAAAACATCTCCTCAAGGCATAAAAGAGGGCTGAGAGGTTCCACCCAGGCTTTTACTTAGTTATGGGAAGAGGTGATGTGAGATCTGGGCAGGCCAGGGAAACTCCCTAGAAAAGGTCTTCCCAGGCTGACAAGAGGGCTTCTCCTATCCCATCCTTGGGTGGGAGGTGAATGCAGATCTCCTCACTGGGGACCTAGCTAGGAGGTCTTTTCTGAGTGGGTCCTCTGATGTCTGATTAAGTGATAGCCTCTGCTGAAGCTTTTTCCACAGGTAGGGCATGTGAAGGGTTTCTCGCCAGTGTGTGTTCGTTGATGCCTGACAAGGTGGTCCCTCCGACTGAAGCTCTTTCCACATTCACTGCACCGGCAGGACCTCACCGAGGCATGTCCTCTCAGGTGCTTGGCAAATGCTGCGCTGTGGTTGAAGCACCGCCCGCACTCGCTGCAGAGATAAAGCTCCTCAGCTGCGTGTGTCTTCCGGTGTGCCACATACCGCCTGTGGTCACTGAAGTCCTTGCCACACTCTCCACACAAGTAAGGTTTGCCTCCAAGGTGGATTCTTTGGTGTGTTGTTAGCACAGATTTCTGGCTGAAGCTTTTGCCACAAATAGTACAGAAGAAGGGTTTTTCTCCTGTATGTGTCCTCTGATGCCTGACAAGGTCTGAAGTCCAGCGGAAGTGTTTTCCACAGTCGTCACAACCATAGGGCTTCTGAACAGGTGGAGTTCTCTTAGCCTGGGTCAGAGGGGAGGTCTCATCCAAATTCTTCCGGTTTAGGGGACATTTGTAAGGAGTGATCATCTTGTGAACCTTTTGGTGCCTGGCAAGATGGGAGCTCCGCGTGTAACTTTTCCCACACTCCATACATTTATAGGGTTTCTCTCCCGTGTGAGTTCTCAGGTGTCTAACAAGGTGGGAGTTACAAGTGAAGCTTTTTCCACATACAGTACAGTTGTGATGTCTCCCTAAGAGGGATCGAATAGGCGTGGTTTCCCGAAGACTCATGAAACTATTCACTTGAGAAATATTGGTACCAAATCTTCTTTCATTAAGTCTACCTGGGTTATCCTCAAAGACTATTTCCCAATCTGGAGTCTGGTGAATTTCCGGATCTCCCAAAATAGACCTGTGTATATCCTCCAAATTCAGATCTTCTTGCTCAAGATACTCTTCCTCATCCTCACTCCTATCTCCTGTAGGAAGGGTAAGAGGAGAAAAGGGGAAATTATAGTGGAAACAATCCTTCGACACAATGGGGGAACTTTTAAAAGGGTTTTGGGAGGGCAAGACCATATAGAGAGAAGCCTGTATTTCCTAACTGTAGAGGTTGGGAAAGAAGGAAATCACCAGTCAACTGAGTGTCTGTCATGTGCCAGGCACTTCCTTACATGTCACGCTATTGATGAGCCTTAGCATGGATGAGTATCATTATCCTCATTTTATAAATGTGGAGACTGCACATCAAGGGTTTAAGTGAACTGTGTAGAAAGTGATACAGCTGTAATTCTAAGTTTAGCTGTTTTATTATTCTTTCACCATTTTGCATCACATGGCCCTCAGACAAATGATGGGAAGGGTGAAGAAAATGACAGAGAAGAATCTGGCTTTCAGAAGGAGCGAGTTGTAATGGCTGACATATCAGGAGAACCAGAGAGAGGGGCCCTGGAGGGAGAGCAGCACTGACTGGAAGAGCTGCCGGCTGGGGGTGGGTAAGGCCCCCCTGTCATTCCTCACCTGTGTAGGTAAAACTCAGGATTTCTGGCTCTGAAGGCTCTTGAGGCTCTTGGATATCTGGGACCCAAGGCTCTTCCTCTCTAACCTGGGAGTTCTCATCTAGTCTGGGGATTGGAAATGCTGCTCAAGAGAGGGAAAACAGGACATCACAATTGGTTCGACAATTCCCTGTGTTAAGAGCAGATCTTTTGTTTGGTAGGTTGTAGAGCAGACACATAGCCAGGCCAGTTGATGAAATCTTTGGTCTCCTTTGCTTAAACACCTCTAACTAAGTAATACATATCTCATCCCTTTCTTGTGCTTTTCATCTGCAACTCAACAATTATACCACTGTAAACCTTACCCTCTGTTCCCATATTCAAGAAAGTAGATTATCTCCAACTCTTATCACTTGTTTCAAAACTCACCCACTTCTACACTAAAACTATGTATTATAACTTTATTTTCTTATCCGAGGTTTCCATTTACTTAATCATTTTCTCTTTCCTTTAACTTGGAAGGATACCATTTTCTTCTAAGTTAATCCCTCAATTTCATTGGTGGGGTAGGCATAAGAGAAGTGCATATGATCTAAGGTCCAACAACCCCTGAATTTCCAATAGGAAAAAGATCTCTGTGCTCACAACACTCTAGAAACACTTGAAATTCCTTACACAGAGAGACCACAATTCCACAGTCTTCTTCTAAGACATATTCTCCATAGAATTCTTTCTGTGTTGGATCTAGATCACTCCACTGGTCCTGGGAGAAACATACAGCCACATCCTTGAAAGTTACCAGTCCCTGAAACAACACAAGGATTCAATCAAAATGTAATGCTTCACGTAGTTTCATATCATGTTCCTGGATGAAGATCATACATATAGGCAGAATCCATTCAGAAGACAAAAGGAACTCCAATGCGCTGCTTGGCCTCCTTCTCAGGGAAGCTGTGTGTCCCCCTGTCACCACTTCCCGACTTTCTACAAATACCCAGAGGATTATGATGGGGTTATATCCAGATAAACCCATTGTAAGTTGAAAATATCATTAGTGGAAAATGTGCTTTGGACATACAATATCTCCAACTTACACTGGGTTTATTGGGATGTCATCCCATTGTTAAGTCGAGGAACATACTTTATACTGCATGTGTATGGCTTTTGCACATCACAAAAGTTGAAAAATTGTAAATCAAACCATCCTAAGTTGGTGTCCATCTGCACTTCTGCACTGGCCCTGTCCCCTCCAATACCACTGCTTTCCCTCAGGACCAGTCTAAGTTCTTCTTCTTTTTGGGGTATTGCTTAAAGTCAAGAATGGTCTCATTCAACCTATTTGATGCTTTAATGCTACCTATATTTCTGTAAAAATTCATCTTTTCTCGGAAGCTTTCCCTATCCAACCCTATCTAATCCCCTTATCATTTACACAGCCTATAGTATAACAGAACCTTTTTACTCAACTAGACTACAATCGAAAACCATGGAAAAATTCTATTCATTTTTTGCAGCCACATAGCTAGTTACTGGGCTCTGCGTGTGGTGAATGCTTCATAAATGTCCTGGCAGTACAGTGACTCATTCTTACAAATGACCTCAAATTTATTCCTAAAAAACAAAAAACCAAAAATCCCACATTTAACAACTTCAAAGTTGTACTGAAGTGTTACAAAATAATCCCATTTTGTTTTTCAAACTCCTGGTCCATGACAAATAAAGAGGCTTTGGAGCCTGCAGATCCAAGGGAGATTGACATTATAATTTATCCATTATCTCCTCTCCTTCCAGGCACCTGCATAACCAAGAACTTAAAAATGGCAAAAGGAGAGCATCAATGTGCACCGTGTCCAATCTGTTCTGCACATTGCTAACACCTCATGGTTCTTCAAACACGTTCTCTGTGGTCTGGAGGGAACAGGGGCGCACCTGTGACAGAGCAGCGAGAAGGGCAACCATCTCAGAGCCTCCAGAGCTCCTCTCTGCAGGAAGGTCTGGGTCCTGAGGCGCTGGAGTCTCTAAGAAGAAAGAAGGCAGAGATCAGCACAGGAAAGGCACCTTGACAACCAGGAAAAGCCAAGCGTCCCCCACTGTCTTGGGTAGGATGGTGGCCCCGACCTCCCAATTACGGGAATCAAGAAACTGGCCTAGCAGCAGTTCGAGTCATTCCAACCCCACCACCTAGAACACCACCACGATGCCAAGAGAACAAGAATATTGCTAATTTAAGCTTGGCCCCATCTGTGGGGGACTCCAGCTGATACTGTCTCCTCTCAACATCCTGGATTCTGGGATTTCCTCCCTTTATGGTGCACCCGCTCCTTCCTCCCGCACCCGCCACATTCCCTGCTTCGGGCTAGGGCTTCCCACCGCTCTCCTGCAGGGGTGGCAGCTCCTCTTCAGGACATGGGCTCTGGTCTTCTGGTGCCCCCAGATCTGGGCTTTGTGTGCTTTCCTCCTGGGACTGCTCGGGGGTCGAGGCCTGTGCAGCACCCTGTGGCTCATGAGGTGACTCGAGCTCTGCTCCTAAGTGCACTGTCTCCTCTGACAGGACTTCCTGGCCGTGAACGTGGACAGTCACCTGGGAATGATTCCAACTGCCAGTCACCACGGAGTCAGGAGGAAGTTCCTGGTTGTCATCAGGGCTTATTTTCAGAGAAGCTGCCTAGAGAAAAACTCCCAGAGGAACCCATGTGAGGAGGGAACTCCAGTTTCCCCGGGGCATGCAGAGGAGCTGACAAAGCAGGGCACACTCAGGTTCTGACCACTTTCTCACTTCCCATAACCCTTGCCTCATCACCCAGGGCTCTGAGGTACCCATGCTCACCAGGACAAGGCAGGGGACACGCAGGTACTAACCACTTTCTACTTCCCTCAACCCCTGCCCCGTCACCCAGGGCTCTAAGGTACCCATCCTGCCCACCACCTCCTATCCTGCCTGCAGCTCTCCTTGCAGTCTGCTTTCCTCGCTTACCATCCTGGAAGGGGGATCTGTGACTGAGGGTCTATGAGAATTTTTGAGAAAAACACAAAACTCTCCTTTTTAGGAATGCAAAGTTCAACATTTAAAGAAGGGAAACCAAAGGCAGGACCCCCGGATGGCAGAGGTCCTTCAGATGGTCCCTAGACAGGTGTTTCAAAAACCAGAAAGTCACACTCATCCATACACACCCCTGACCCATGGGGGCTCATGGATCTAGGAGCAACCCAAAGGCAGAGCTGATTAAATTTCAAGGATAATTCATGGGGGTCCTCTGAGGCCTCCCCTAAATTCAACCTTCCACCAAATAGTCCCCCTCCACATCACACAGATCAGGACTCCCCCTCCTCACCCACCGCCTTGGTCTCCTGGGTTGTTTCTGCAAACCCTCCACCAGCGTCACCGCCTCCTCGCCGCTCTCTGGTCGTTGGCCGCGCACCCAGCTCTGCAGTTCTCCAGGCAGGACAGTAAGGAATTGTTCCAGCACAAGCAGCTCTAGGATCTGCTCCTTTGTCCGCCTCTCTGGCCTCAGCCACTGATGACACAGTTCTCGAAGTCTGATGAGAGCTTCTCGAGGGCTTGCTGCTTCCTGGTAGCGGAAGCGCCGGAAGTTCTGGTGAGAGGTCTCCAGCACAGGGTCGTCCCTCTGTGTGACAGACTCTGGCCTACAGGTGAAGTCATCTTCCAGTTTTACCATCAGAATTCCCTCTTCTTCCCAAAGATCCTGGTCCTCTGGCTCCATGGCTGTAGCCATTTCCTGGCTCTGGGAGGGCCTCACACCATCTAGGGCTCGCGCTGGCATTACCCCTGTCTCAGCCTGGACACCTCCAGTTGTCTCTCCCAAGGGACCTAGGGTAGAGAAGACAAACAATAGCATAAGCATGAAATTACACATAAGGAGAACAGTTCTGAGGCCAATCATTATCCTCTACACACTTCTTCAAATGATCAAATCCCCTCTCCCCATTTCTACAACCACATGTTGTAAACAGATCTGGTTGGGAGGGACTCATCCACAACTGAATGTTTGCTCCTCCACCCTTTCCTAGGTGAGACTGCATTTTCCTCTTCACGAATATTACCAATTCCGCCTCTAAGTCTGGTTTCCTTCCTACAGACTGCTTTAGTTTGGGCCCTCTTCATCTCTTGCTTGGACTGCCATGACTTCTGTACTGGGATCCCTGCAGTACTTGAATGTTAGGAGAAGAAACTCTCAGTCACTTGCTAACAGATGTGGTGCTGACCACAGTGTGTTACACACACATGTACTTACAGGTGTCTTAGCACCTACAGTCTGAGAAGAGACACATCAACAGGACTGACATAGATAGGGAAGGCTTTATGGAGGTACATTCTGAACTGATTCATGCTCAGTATTAATTTTTGTAAAGTGGAGACTTAGAGACTTGAGGGGAGGACTGTATGAGGAAAACGGCAAGGAAAGCCACTTACACAGTGGTTGGCACACAGGCACCCCAAAAGCAACGTCTCTCTCAAGACATCTTTAATTGGATGACCCACAGACCCTCGAACTCAAGTGCACAAAATTCAATTCATTATCCTTACTTCCAAACCCACCCACCTCTCTTCCTGGAATCCTGTCTTGGCTGAGATCATCACTTGTTAAGTAGACATTCACCTCTGTAAACCTGGAGTTAACTTTGATTTTTCCCCACTGCTTATAGCTCATTAAGCCAATTCTACTCCTTAATCCTCTAAAACCATTTCCTCCTCTTCCTTTCTAGGGACCGCTTTATTTGGGGCCCTCATCATCTCTTGTTTGGATGACCACATTAACTTCCTAAGGGGGATCCCTACAGTACTCGACTACAAGCAAGGTGCAGCAGAATTACCTGTGAAGCTTTTGCAAAACACAGTAACATATATCCTTCGTTTGGACATTCTGATTCAGTCCGTGTAGGCAACTGTATCTGTAGAAATGCTCCATGCAGTTCTAATGTGTATCCATGGTTGAGAAACACCCAGGGAGGTGGTGCATGTAAAGTTAAGAGTGAGAGTCCTGGAGTCAGACTACCTGGGTTTGGATCCTGGCTCTATCGTTTACTGGGTACAAGACCATGGTGGGACCACAGACAAGTTCTTATTCTCCTCATGCCTGATTCCTTGTCTACAGAACGGATAATAATGGCATCCATCTAACTAGGTTACCATGAGGATTAAATGTATTACTATCTTTGAAGTACTTAGAAAAGGGATCCAATGTTAACTATTATCTTTCTAAACTATAGTTCCAACTACATTACTCAATATTTAAAAACAACTTCTTAATGTTAGTAAGTTCCAAAACCCTGGGCATGGTACACAATGCTCTACATGATCAGCCCCCAATCTATTTTTTCATGCCTCATATCCTACCCTTTTCCTGGTATGGCCTAGCTAGAATGAAGGAAGTCATTGCTGACCCCCTACAGCATGGTGCCTTCTCAGGCCTCCATGCCTGAGGGCTGTTCCTTCTGCATGGAATACTTTCCTCCCCTCACTCCCCCCAATCAGTGCTGCATGGTGTGTTCCTATTTCTTATGAACAGGCCCTCTCTTCTTCATTCTCATGATTCATAGTTTAGGTCCTTATCAGTTCTCATCTGGATCACTACAACAGTCTCCAAATGTGAGCTACCTGCTCCAGATTTGTTACCCTTGAGTTACCATTCACAGTATTTCCACAGTGAGTTCTCTTGGCAAATCTTGTCATGTCCCTTCCCTATTAAATATTCTTCAATCACTCCTCCCTGTCTTGTAAGTGAACTGCAAACTTTTAAGTATTATGTTAAGTTGACCTTCACCTAGTTACTCCGTGTCCTCCTCTCCAATCCTTTGTCACACATGCACACACGCATGTACATGCAAAGCACACAACAGTCCCATGCTCTTTAGGCTTTTGGCCACGCTGCTCCTTTTAACTCTTTAAACTTTGGTTATCTTTCAAGACCCAGCTCAGGCATCATGCCTTCTGGGAAGCTCTCTTCGATCCCATTTCTCCTACCCTTAGACGTGGTTAGAAATCACCTAAGTGCTTCCATAGCTACTGGGTCCATCTCTATCACAGTATCTGTCACATTACACAGCCATTGTTTCTTTCCTGTGAAACTACTTGAAGTCAGGGTCTGTGTTTTTCATCAATCTCCAATACTTATAATAAAGTGCACAATAAATGTCTTTAGAATGAATTAATTTCCACTTTGAAGTTTTCTTCCTACTTTAACAGACAGAACCATCTTTTCCTCCATTATGCTTCTAATCTCTTTTTTATACGCCAAGTCCTGTTAATTCTACCTTCTAAAAACTGTCTTTCAAATTCATCCGCCTCTTCAATTCCACTGCCATTCCCCTGGGCACTTACATGTTGAACGAATGACTTAGTTCAAGTTTCGCAACTGTCTTCCTCGTTTTGTCCCGCTCCAGCCCAGTGTCCACATACAGCCCGAGGTAGCCTGCATTTCTGTCTTTTTACGCTGTGCGACAATTGCCTCAGGCCCACCTTCAAGGTTCTCAGTCCACTTTCAACAGCTGTGTTTCATCTGTTGTTGCTCAGCAAATAAGTTTATGGTCAATGACCACGTTATTCATTTTTATTCTTTCTCAAATATCTTTGTTCATGCTCTTATTTCATTTTTTTCATTACTATTAATCGTTTTCAACGTATTTTCCTAGTCTCCTTTGGTTAGTTCCATATTTCCCAGATCTCCATGTGCTAATTTTCTGATGTGGTCTCTATCACATGGTGGCATTTCTCTGGTAGTGTGTAATTTTAAATTTTATGCCTATCTTCAGTGAGGTTGTTTTTTCTTTGGGAGTCATGAGAGCCCTATGTTGTAAAAGTGAGCCCTTTGAATAGAATATCATTTGCTTCTACCTAAGTGCTAATGGTTTCAGTGAACTTGGATCAGTTTTTATGTTAATTTCTCAGGTTGTTTCTAAATTATGTTTATAGTGCATTATTGGACCTATGACTTCAAGTGATTTTTGTCCTATGCAAGGCTACAAAGAGCCTCTTCCTTGCATTTTTCCTGGATCATAGGCAGATTTTTATGAAAGGGTAGCTCTTCAAGGGTCCAGGTTTGCAGGCTGCTCAATTCCATAATCTCCTCACCCCCACCCCCACATCACTCCCTAAGTCATATCTCCTTGTTGGAGCCCAGGTATTAGAATCCCAAACCCTAGAAACCTTACTTTGGTTTGAAACCTCCTTGGGCCAAAGTAAAGACAGTTTTTACTTACTCCTCTAGTTTTTATTTCTCTCCATTTCTGGAAACTATACATTTACCATTAGTTTTAGAGAGAGAGACAGGGAGAGATGGCATGGGCAGGTAAGTGCAGACATTTAATATTGGGCGGAAGGCCCATCCACATTAACTCCACATTACTGCAGAAAGGTCTGAGTGGTGGTTTCTAACATATGAGATCTGCTGATGGCTTCACATTGTTATTAGGATAAAATTCAAACTCCTTAAAACTTAATGCTCAAGATCCTTCAAGACCTGGTCCCTGCCTACTTCTTTTCTCCCATGACTGCCACCCTCAAATTACTGTTCTATCTCCCTCTTCTCTGCCCTCCCTGGGCTTTCCCAATGCTGTTGGCTCTGTCCGAAACCCCCTTTTCCACCCCCTTCACTTGGTTAGCTCGACTCATCCTTTAGATCTCAAGTCTTCCCAAGACACCTTCCCTGATCCTCCCAGATTATGCTTCCATAGGGACTTGTACCACCCTGTACATATCACGGCATGGACATATATCTATTTTTTGTGTCATAAAAATCGTTCATCTTGCTGTTGAACTCATGGGATTTTCAACTCTGAGGGCAGGAACATGCTATGCCCAGCTGGAAGCCTGGCACAAGACACTCACTTTATATTTGATGAATGCAGAGAACACTTTAACACTGAGTTTTTTTAAGTCTGTCCCTGGAAGATATCTAACATGTTGTATTAATCCTTATTCATTTGTCCAGCAAAACATGTATTGAATAAATGAGGAAAAAACATTGTTTGGATTGTGAGTAAAACAGAATACATCACCAACTGATGAAACCATAACTCATCACAAGAATTCTTCAGGTTGCCCTGGGGATAATAATCCAAATACAAGATTTTTTTGAAAAAAATTACTTTCCTTTCAGGATGTGAATCAACTTTAATAAGCACAAAACCAGACTTCAAGTAATTTAATGCAGTGACAATACTGATTATTTACTTGAGAAAGCTTCTCAATCCCCACCCCCCCCAATCCCAACCTTGTAAGGCAGGGTGAGAAGACAGGATTGATACATAGTGTCTTTTGGCTTAATAAAAGTATCTCTATTATATTAAATAAGTCCAAGAACCAATATCCAGTGAAGTAGACTAGGAGCCCTGATTGTTTTCACGCAGCACTAGGTACAAGGGATTCTATACCATTGTATGTAACAGAATGGTTCCTGCTCTCAGAGGGCTTTGCTCTCCAAAGAAAAAGAACACAACAGTGCCAAGTAAAACCTGCCATGTTAAAATGCACTTCAGAAATCACAAGTTGAGATTTCTGTTGCTTGTTTTGCATTTACTTTGGCGGCCTGGAATATAAGATGAAGGAAATCAGATCAGCAACAGTGGTAATGAAGGGAGGGAGAGGATGACTTGGTGGGGTGAGAGATGAGAAGAAAAAGGAGACATGAGAGTGCTGTTCAGAGCATCAGACTGGGTACCAAAGACATACGTCCCAGCCCCAAGTCACTGGAGCTACTGTAAGGGTTTTGTGAGATGACATACACAAGAGCCCTTGCAAAGAATAAAGCTCTCTGCAGATAACCACTCTCCTAACTCACTGAATTATC